TTGGAAGGTATGTAGGGGGTTCGTTTGTGTGATAAGGCTTTTCACTGGTATGACGGAGTATGCGGCTGCTCGAGCGAGATGCTGGGCAGTTGGTATGATGCTCCATGCACCCGGCTAGCCAGGTTCGCGCACACGACATACTAGAAGTCCAATCCGAATAATCGTACGGCCTCCCTGCATCAGAAGTTTTGCCAGCCCCAGTCCCAACGTTAGCACATACTACTTGACCATGGCAAGACTTGATGCCGTTTGTGGGCTCACAGAAGAAGGCCTGAATCCCCGTGCGACGAGTAGAATGGATAACAACATGCAGTACTTTGGTACCTGCATCTGCATGAGGGCTCAATCTGAACTCCGTCGACATCCGAATGTCATTGACGCCCAGTGGGTGAATGCGGGCGAGAACTGAAGGCATGGAGTCCCAGAACTTGCAGCAGATGTCGCAGCCCTCGAGAGCGGACCGCTGCAAACTTTGGTAAGAGCTATGATGCTTGGTATATCTCATATGAAATGAGCCTTGGAAAATACCCAGGCAGATTTCGCACAGCATAGTGGAGGTGCGACGACGGAAGCGACCGACGCAGCTCAGTGTTGGAAAGGTCGAGAGCGCGATATATCGCCAGGTCGATTGAAGCGAGATCCTTTTTTTCGTGGAGAGGATCTTGCTGTGGAGATGTGTGTTGTAGTAAAGATGTGTTCTGCTGTTGAGAGGAAAGGGAGGAAGGGGAGGAAGGCTGGGGACTGCTTAAGCGGGGTCAGCCACATCGAGAAAGAGCGACTACTCATCCCCGTCTCTCATGTCAGCACGTCATCCCAGGCACCAGCCAAGAACGACATGATGAGAATCATCTGGATTCGCGGACTGAGTGTTTTCCGTAGTCCAGTAGGCTGCTGTCACTCACAAGTCAAACCTTGTACCTAGCGTCCTACGCCCTTGCCTCAGGTTGACACTCCGAACCCACCTTGGCAACCGCCACCCGTCTCCGCCATCGTACGACCTCGTACATGACTTTACATTACAATCAATGCGCCAATCACTAATCATCTCTACTTGGAACAACCTTTCCTTTGAACTATCGATACTGGTATACGTAATGGTATTCATTGAGGGGTATATTTTAGGCTATGCTACGCTACGACAATTACAAGAAAAATCTGTAGTGGAGGGATATATGTTACAGAAAATGGCTCGCTCAGTGCACATTGAAAGTGGGAGGAAACGTGTGTGTGTGGGGGGGTTAAAAAAGGATGTGATGGAGCCCGCGGAATACTTCCTGCCATCGAGAGAAAAGATCGTGGGACGCCGTCCGTGTTGTTGCTCATTAAGTCTTTACGCGTCCTGTGCGCGAAAGAGGTCCTTCGTTGTGACATTTGTCATCATCCTCATCTCCTGCCGTTCGGTCCCCACGGTGGTGGCTGCTTTGTGCTGTCTCTCGGAAACAGCCCATAGTTATTGGCGTCTGGCGCCGCGTTGCCCCAATTGCCGACGCTACTTGTTCGTTTACTTCGTGTGGGTTGTCGCGTGATATTCCCGGCCACTTCTTTCCTGTTGATGTTGAAGACGCTCGTAAAGCCAAGAACTTCAGGTCGGTCGAGGTCGAAAGGATCCGATTGCCGGACCGTACGACCAGTTGGCATTGGGGTGAAGAAGTTGGTGGCGGGCCTGCTCGGTCCTGGTTCTCCGAAGAACATGTCAGAGTCACGAGAGGCGAACGTAGAGGTGGCATCCACGGTCGATAGCGCGTTGAAGCCTGGTAATGCCATTGACGAACGGCGGGTATGGCTTGGTAGAACAGCCTGACTGGGAGCAGGTGGCGCATAAGGTGGATCTCGGAACGGGTTATCGGCCGTGTAGAATGAGGACACGGGATGTGAGCTCAGGGCCGATACTGAGCTTATAGTACGTGTATGGTGATGAGTCGGTACTTGAGCCCAGGCTGGTGCAGCTCCAGGTGGGTCCTGGATCGATGCGAAAGGATCTCTGGGTTCCGTGTCGGCAGCAGCAACAGGGACCTGCGGTGTGACAGGCGCACTTCGAGGATCCGGGTTGAGTACCAACAGCGTGCTTTTTGGGTCGGCGAAGGGATTTGGCGAGCCTGTGTCTTCGACGATTCCTGGAAATCGGTAATTCGATGAAATGCTGCTTGGCTTCTTCCGGAGCAGATTCCTCTCGCTCTTCTTACTTGACATGCTGTTGCTGGAGCCTGCGCGCTTGACACCGAAGAATCCTTGCGGCTCGCTGGTTGATCGACCTCTGCCATTGGAGTCCCTCGAATATACCGAACCAACGCTGGTTTGCGCAGCGTGGCGTTGGTAGGGATTGCTGATCGGGCCGGATTGGCTTCCTTTAATCCTGGCAACGAATGCGCCCACCCCGCTGGGTATCGTCTTCAATCTGGCCAGGAAACTTGGGCCTGACTCTTGCTTCTCGTTCCATCGCACGGGCCGCGACTTCCGTTTTCGCAAGCAGACGAAGAGCAATACGCTAATCAGGGCCAATCCAGCTACGCCGCCAAAGACACCCCCAATTATGCCTCCTATGTTTCCACCGTTCGCAAAGGTCAACGGGCTGTTGTCGCCAGAATTCCCTTGTTCCGGTGCAATTATGCCAGCCGATCCTCCGGTCGGTGTAGAGTCTACTAGCGAAGTAGTGGGCTGTGGTTCTGCGATAGCCGGCGCTTCTGTCACTGACGGTTGTGCATTCGTGTCGGTTTCTATCGCCAGCGGAGGGCTCGCGTTCGATGTGGCACCTTCGGATATCGCCGGAGCTGTGAAGCGAGCCGGTGCGCGCGAAGATGCAACGAGTGACGTTGGAACAGCTATTTGTTCTGTGTCAGAACTTGTTGGTATGGGACTTGGAGGCGGAGGCGGAGCCGAAGACACCGCCACAGCCACCTGTGAAGCCGCAGCAGCTTGCGAAGACACAGCCAGAGGAACAGCAGCGGCCGGAGAAGACGCTTCCGGTGCCGCTTGAGTTTCTGGCTGCTTCTGAGCCGCTGCCGTTGCACGGGCTGAAGTTGCGAGAGCCAGCGGTGTCACCCGCTCCGAGGATGTAGGGGCCGGGCTACTCGTACCTATCGCGGACGTTGCTGCTGCTTCCGTCGTAGATGTTGTAGGCACTGCGGGGGGCGGCTGTGCTGTCTGTTGGGCAGACGTAGTCGGCGCTGGTGCCGGTGCCGTCGAAGAGGGAGGAGGTGGCGGAGGCGGTGCCTGGCTGGTGCTGGTCTCTATCTTGGGTGCCGCCTCAACGGTCGTGGACGAAGTGACTTGGGGAGGGGCGGCGGCTGCGGATGTTGCTGGAGTCGTCGAGGTTGTAAGGGCCGTTCGGGCCCGAGAACGAGTGCATCGTCTCCCGTTTACCGTCGTAATGGACTCTTGAGGGGTGGCCATGCGAGCAGTAGCTCATGGAAAGAAACGCCGACAAGGGCTCAGAAAGAGAGACGAAGAGAAAGGATACAAGGCGCCGCGGACGCTTTGTGCATATTAAACTGGGAAATTGGAGTTTACCGCTACGTGATGCTGAATGAATGGTTAACGAAGAGAGGTGTTAGTAGGCGTTCGAAGAACGGCCGGGTGGTAGTCAACCGTTGGCACAGTATGGTGCGCTTGTATCCGTCTGAAACGCGGGCGGCTTCACATCGCGCTTCGAACAATGCACATGAAGCGCGCTGAGCCTCGCACACTTGAGCGGCACCGGCCTGGCCGTCTCAGCCGACTGCCGTGCCGCCCGACAAAGCACTCTGGCAGCCATTCTTGCGGACGCGATGACATAGATGACGATGCGCGATGGGGTTGGATGGAGAGGAGTGTTGGAGGCTGGTGCTGGTGTTGGGCACCTGGCGAGCAGGCGTCCTCAGCACGTGACTGAACACCAAAAGCAACTCGAAGATGGAAAATACTTCTGTTCGACCTCTCGCACCTTCCAAATCGCTGAGAAGCATCTTCCTGGTCTGCCTTGTCATCCCATGATTCATTTGGCCCCAGTGGCACCACTTGACAGTCGCCTTCGGGGTAATGCATGAACGTGCTCTTAGAGTTTAGGTGGCTACGCCGCGCGTGGCTTGCGGAGAAGAACCGTCACAATACTCATGTCTGGTTTTCCTGAAGATTGATATAATGCATCAATATCGCATGCTCGCGCAAAGCTCTAGCAGAGAGTCGCTGGTGGGTGTGGAGACGTTGTTGCGTTGGGTGCGCACGTCCGGTTTGAAGATCCGCGGCCCTCGCTCGACTTCGACATCCATCGCCGATTCCACCACGCCCCTAAGCATCACGGTCCTCGTACCACGACCCTGTGATAATGTTCAGCTTCAGCGGTGAGTGTTCTTCTTATTGGTTTGTTCTTGATCCATTGCCGGCGTCTCTTCGTCTCGCGCAGAGGTCTTGTCTGCCCGCTCGAAGTGGACCTCGGGAGTCTACGCCAATCACATCATCTCGAAGCTTGGTTTACGATGGCATCTGAAATGGCCTTCCAAATCCGCATACATGTTTTCTTTCTTCTCGGGTTCAGCTGCTTGTTGTGGTAGCTACTTGGCATGCTTCTGTCAGTCAAGTGGGTATATATTCCACACATGTTTCGTCTGAGACGTGCGGCGCACGTGCAATATTGTTGCTGATATAGGACAACTTGTTCATAGGCAACCTGCTTGCGGGGCAGCATGATACGCAGAAACAGAGGTCGCCACCCTCGAAACCGACACCCGTCAAGTTTCCTTCCCTTGAGCCGCCCGAGCCGTCAATAAACACGTTGCCAGCCACCTGGACCCAACCAGGAGCAAGGATATCAGAGCACTTTTTGCGACTCAAGAAGCCGTCTGATGTGAGTGAAGAGACCTTGGCCTTGTTGAATGTCACGTTTCAGCCCCAATGTGACTTGGAAACATTATTGTCATCCTTGCCAAACAACGCAGAGTCGTTCCTGCCCCCAACCTCCTGGTTAGAATCACCGGGAGAGAACGACGCCGCAACCAGTCCTGATACCCCGGCCACACTCTTGAGCAATGGCAGAAGAGTACCAGATCAGAGAGAGTTCTATGTCCGAGCGAGAGAACTGTTCTTCAAGAATGCTGATGCTTACTCAACACTCACGCGCAAGAGTGTTGGAGATCAACCACAGCTTCGACTAGCGCATTTTCGAAAGTTCTGGGAAGGTCTTGACAACTTGGCTTATTACTGGGATACCTCACTAGACGAATATCTCCCGCCAGTGCAAGAAGCTGGCAGTGCTAGCGGAGAGGCAGTGGTTTCAAGCTCCCCGCAAGAGTCCACAGATGCCCAAAGTCAGGACGCCAAACGTGAAACTGATTCGAATCGAATATCCACAGCGAGGCCAGGGTCTCGCACGCCTGAAGAAGAGGAACCTCGCAAGAAGGCCAAGGTTGAAGATGCTGAAAGTGGACATCGACCAGCCGAGGTCCAAGGCGCCAATGGCTCCAGCGCCGCACCAGTGAGTGCACGTGTGCCGTCAAATACTCCAAACCGCATACTACCAGCTCGGGCTGCACCACCCAAGGCCCCTTGGGCTGTGAATATGGAGTCTCAGAACAAGGTAGTTGATTTCTCAAACGGGTCTTACCGAGGCTATCGTATCGGGAGTGGTGCCGAGATGCCTGATCAGTACCGCATTGATTGCGTGCGTGCTTTCATAGAGCCGATTGCATGGGCTTTTGGTGTGACACTCTCACCACACCGCCGTCCTCCCGTCCTCACAATTGAGCACATTAGATTTCCTGTTCGCATGAGCTCTGTCGCTTGGCAAGCACCTCAGGATAGGGCTAAGGCCAGGCATGGCTATATGGAAGGTCCGGTATTGGGGATACAATGCAGGGCAGACGTTGGCTTTGGACTGACAGGAAACCTGAAGAAGCAATCTAATCTTGATGCTGTGCGCGAGTTAGGTGGGTTGCTTTTGCTGGCACAAGAGAGAGCTAGAGAGGGGAAAGCTGAACGAAGAGGTGGCGAGGATAGATGGTGGACAACAAAGGAGCGGTGGGGTGGAGGACCCGGGGGCGAGGTTGGCGAAACAACTGGGGCGATCGAAATACTGTCCAAAGATGCAGCGTCCAAACCTGAAGCAAAACCCACCGACAGGAATCGTGACGGATCCAAGGCTCGCCGCAGGCCGTCACCAGCAGAGATTTGGAAAACGTTGCGACCTGGAAACCCACTGTGGGATCCAAAAGTGACCTATAAGGCCATCGGCAAAGACAAGAGTGTTGAGTGGGACGATGTAGGGCTTCGTACTACAGCTCTAGGAAGCTCATTCCGCTGATCCGACAATCTAGGTCTTCATGGTATCGTCATTGAACCACCACATCAGCCTGTTAAAGCTACGCATACATCCGGCTTATCTTGAGTACATCACCGAAGGTAGACTGCCCAAAGAAGCGCCAACAGACTCCGACTGGTTTTCCCCAAAACTGCAAAGAACAAGATGGTTCGATCTGTTCAACGTTGATGACCGTACTGAGGCGATGAGAGGCATCTGGGGGGTGATGACCTATCTCATGCGCTCAGATAAGACTGATCACGCTGATTCCGCTGGTATTGCTACCAAACAGTGATAGTTCGCTGTCACCGGTGTGGCTCTTACTGGAGGGACTGAATGACCAATATGGGACGATGTGGACTTGTGAACCTCAAGCCCTGAGGTCTATACTAGAATCCCATCACTTCCAAAGACCGGAGATGCTCGGGGCGTCTGGGATAGCGTACAACTCTTCTACCTATTCACGACCTAAATTGTCCCCAAAACTATCCTATTCGGTTTCCCACTCTTCAAGTCATTTACATGAAACGCTGAGCTAGATCCACGAAGGCCAACTTGTTTGGTGTCACAATCAATCTAGAGCTACACCTTTGCTGCGCTTGCTCCGCGACCGATTCTGACCTGGACGAAGTACTCGCGATTGTGATACTAGCAAAACATTTCTCTTCGTGGTAAGTCATTTCTCCAACGCACTCAAAGCTGCACAGCAAGATACACAAGATATTGCGCAACGATGCGGGCATCTTTTTCTCAAACTCGCGTCGGGCTAACCAATCCCTGCACACCAAAGCATAGCCGCCCAAGACGGCAAAGCTAATGCAACGAGGCCACAACGTGACTGGCGCGTTGTGTTTCTTCCACAATTACACGCACATCTGTATTGCCGTTGGTCGAAACTTAGCGTTTGAACGACCAATGGCGCAATCTTCTAGTGCGACCGTGTCACTAAGAATATCGACGTTCCTCCACCAACAATCTTGACTAAGCTCCGCCTCGTTCGGTAGAACTGTGGCGTTTTTAGCCAGTCTGTACCCAAGGGGCGCCTGACGCAGCCATGTAAGGCGCCTGTCAGATTTCGACGTATTTTTCCGCTTGATTGTAGCTCGAATGCTGTTGGGCAGCACAAGGCCTACGACCATCGACTGATATGCAGCACCACCCTGGACCCACTCATCCCCAACAGCACGTCTACGACCTCCAAGGAACGCTCACAAGCTTCAATCTGTTACACTGAATCGGCGTCTCTTCCCAAGTAGAGGTCGTATCAACAGATAGCATGTGATGGAGGAAGGTCCATCACACACCTACGACCACTTCTCGTTACAAGCGAGTTTGCACAAAAGCTGCAACTTGCCAGTAACAGTCGGAGAACTCGGCATAGCAATCTATCACGTCCCCTTCTAGTTAAGCTACGCCACGCGCTATGTTGACCCCGGTCCCTGGTCCAATGCGGCCGCACACATGGTGCGAATCTCGAGCATCGATCCGTAAACCGGGTTTGCAGGCAAGTGAGATGTACCTATGTACCTAGGTACCTTACAGAAGCAGCAAGACCCGGGATCGGACCGCTTCTCACATAATCTTCACGATGCATTATATGCAGCAATCACCAGCGCAGCCCGTCGGAAGCAACAGTGCCATCAACAAACATATTTGGCTCAAACGAGGAAATTTTGACAGCTGGTCACGACACAAGCTGGGAAGGAATGGCGCTCCATAGTCAGGAACGCTCCAATGACCGATCAACCTCCCTAGCGACGCCTCCACCGGGCAAGAGTAACAGTGGCTTGAAAGCCTACGACGATGAGCAAGACAGAGCGGTCAGCAGTCCAGTCTACCGAACACGCCCTGGCCCTTCGTCTTCTCCACTGCAGCGAGTCCCAGCCTTCCATGCGGCCGCCTGATCTATATAAGTCTGCATGCATGACTTGGAAAGACGGCATCGAAGTCGACAAACTCCACCACTTGCTTACTACAATTTACCCATCAACGCAACTCAGCCCCAAAGTCAGCACGCCTTATTCCGTCTCTCTACCCTTGCCGATACGATCGATTGCCTTGCAGCTTCCCAGATCTATCAGCCCCACTTGCCAACATCACGTCCTGGTGTTCGATTGTCGGTATATAAAAGCATATACCCATCGTCTCAACATCTCGACATCTCAAGCACTCACTTCTCCCACACTCTACACTTCAAACCTTCCCTCCCAACTCCACAAACCCCCACCACCACCATCACCATGTTCACCAAGACCATACTCCTCTTCACCTCCCTCCTCCCCACCCTCATCACCGCAGCGGATACCAAATCGTCCACTGTCAACCCCGAACTAAACGCCGCCCTCCGCATGGCCGCCACAAACTTCGACCGCAACGCCCTTCTGCCTGCGGATGAAGACTGGTACTTCGACTTCGACTCCAGCAAAGACTACGACTCGCCCACCGGCGCTGTCATCAACGCCAATGCTGCTAGCTTCCCTGCTCTCACTGGCCTCGGCTCCAGCATGGCTCTCCTCAAGCTGGCTCCTTGTGGCATGCTGCCACCGCATCTGCACCCCAGGGCTACCAACTTGGTCACTGCCATTACGGGTAACACGACGACTTACATGATTGGCGAGAATGGTGTCAAGACACGTAAGGTGGATATGATCCCCATGCGTGTTACTATCTTCCCGCAGGGAAGTCTGCACATGATGCAGAACAATGGTATGTCTTCCACACTCCCTTAACATTCCCGTCTATCTATTGCCTGTTCGGGGATGCGGCTCTCAGCCCCAAAATCCAAGAAACGACCCTTGCATCTTACCCGGTCTTGATTACATGCACATCTTACTAACAACACCAACCCACAGACTGCGAACCCGCCCTCCTCCTCAGCGCACTCAACAGCGACGACAGCGGTACCCTCAACATCCTGCCCAGCCTCTGGTCCGTCCCTCAAGACGTCATCAGCGCTGGCTTCGGCGACGCGTCTTTCAACCCCGCCAGTATCGGTGAAATGATCCCTGAAGTGGGCACTGGAGCTATTATCGGATCCGCGGAGTGCAAGAAGAAGTGCAATATCCAGATGTAAGGCTTCCAGTCGAAGTTGATGTTGGTGGAGACTAGGGCTGTGCCGTGCCGGCTACTATTGCTGCTGCTGCGGCAGTAGCGCGTGTGGCGCAGACGGCTGCAACGGCTTTCTTTCTTTTTCTTTCTTCCACGCTTTTGGCTTCTTCTGTTGTTTCAGTGGGGATAATGTTTTCGCATTCGCTTTGCCCTTGCGTTTGCATGCTGTGGTTTGTGGTCTTGCTGGTTTCTTGGGTTCGATGTTAAACATGATGTCATGATGCATGCATACCGAGATATGACAGAAAAGAACAACAATAAAAAGCTTCGTGTTTTCTGCATACCAAACAACTTCATCTTGCTTCCTTCCGTCCTGGTTAGATCGTGCAGCGATCGTGCATGTAGATCATGAGACCGTGTTGCGGGCCGTCACCCCGCCCTGGTAGTGGGGACCTCGCCGACATAGCCAAGTTGATGTGTAAGGCGCCCGGTGCAAGCAAGGGTATTCCATCGGGGCCATGAGTGCGTTGGCCCTCCATGGCATTGGAGACACGACTTAACCGATGAAAGCCTAAAGACTGATGTCTTGTATAATAGCCGCCGTGGCTTGCCTGTACCGATGGGCCGGTCCACACGTGGAGAAACGGGTCAGCGTCTGGACCACGACGTGAGAGCTAGATGCTTTCTCGCCCCCACAGTAAGCGTAGATTTGATGACGCATCGCCGGTAGCCGCATGCAGGTCAGATATAAGTCAGACATACTGCTCCTTCGTGGTAGTGTTTCTACCTAGTCGGGCTGTCACCCGCGGGCGGGCCGCTGCTGGGTGGCATGATAGATTTTACGACCTCGGCGAACTACGACTAGCCTGGTAGAGAAGGTGGGAATGGTTTAGGGAGAATGTGGTACTTGGAGCGATGGGCACTAGCGGATTAAAGCAGGTCTATTACTAAACTGCTCCTTCCTCGGTCGGAATCTCTAAGGCATCATTCTTCCTTATTAGATCGATGTATGTCTGCAGGCTATAATATTCGAGACTAACACCTTACTTTAGATATTATAGAAGAGAACCACGACAAAAGGCTTTGTGCTTTCTATCTTCTAGTTAACTCTGTTATACGTTCTTTCTTGTTAGATCTTATAATAGACCTGTGTTGAGTACTAGTAGGCGATACACAATCTACATAAGTCGTTCCTACTAGTCTAGTATATATGTTAGTACTCTGTATTCTGTTTAAGTTTCTGCAACCCTCTTGTGTTGAAGTCCCGATCTTGCGCAAACACCAGTTCAACTTCATTATCTACATTGACTCGAATTCCAACGCTTTCACTTAGAGTCTTGGCGGAGTCGATTCCGACGCCAACGTAACCCAAATGATCTGGTCTTTTGGACTGGAGCGCAAGTGCAAGTAGTTCAGCTCCGGAGTTCCAAGCCGTTGAGGCCGAGCCAGTGGCGAATGTATATAGCATGTAGCCAATAATGATAACACAGTACAGAAGCAGCACCGTCATGGATAGATATACAGACGTCGATCGCATCCCATAGCCGTAGCCATACTGTGTGGCAAAGAACTCGTAAGGGGTGTAGTCTTCGATGTTTTCCTCCGGTGGGTACTCAGAGAAAAAGGAAGCTTCCAGCCATTTCGACTTCTTCATGGATACCGACGTTGGTACCTTGGCGATCCAGATCACCAGAGCTGCAGCTAGTGCACCTTCTAGACCCAAGCTGCCGAGTTGTGTCGTCCCGAGTATTCCCACAAGGGCCGAATAGAACTTCGCGCTCTGCATTGGGTGATCACCAGCAATATCCAGCGTGATCTTCCGGTGTGCGGATTGCTCCATTGTTGATGATTGGCCAGTATCGACCAGTGTGAATGCTTCGTTGTAGCGCATTTGCGCCTTGCCAGAGCTCCAATATGCAGAAAGTGAACATGCTGTTACAGAGGCGGTCACAGCAGGATCTTTACTTTCGACCATTGACGACAGCAGACCAGGCTGGACCAGTGTGGACTGATTCCACATTTCACTCGTCCTACCCTGGAAGAACACTACGAGCAACGGGTGATCTGCTGGCTCTGGTGATGAGATCCAGACCGGACTGAAGTAGACAGCAGTGGAGTGATTCTCACCCCCTCCATATGTGGAGGCGGAAAGTTCGACAGTATCCGATACTTTGAAGATCAAGGTGGGAAGATCCGGCATTAGTGATGTCCAAGGCCAGGGGTAATACCAATCGCTGCTGTTATTGATGTCGAAAAAGGATCCCCAGCACTGCGCCCCTACAACTGGGTGTGCAGCCTCCACGATTAGCGTCGTGTTTCCTATGCCCTTTAGGTCCGATTGATCAGCTATAACCTCCGTCGGGATCGTGACATTTGCCTCTCGAAGCACTGTACCCCCGGTTTTGTCGGGGTTGCGCACATCGTTGGACCACCGTAGGAGTCGTTTTAAGTTCGATAATCTCCGGGAAAAATGAAGAATGGTATTTGACCCATAAGAACTGCCACGTTCGTATGTGTCGGAGTACCATAGGGTTGAATTCAGCCCTTGAATATCACTGCTTGTAGTTCAGTACTCGATGTTATTTTGGGCCAAGGTACGTACGAGTCAAATTTTGCGATGGGAATTTTAGAAGGATACGAAGCTTCGTCAGATGCTACTCCCCAGAGTTGGCTGTGTGAAGGAGTGCGTGGAACGCCCGCACGTGGGATCATGAGAACAGCGCTTGAAGGTCCAACCAGCGCTGTCAAAGCGAACAAGAGGGGCATGGCGACCACGAAGATTGTCTTTCGCCATCCTTGGAGTGCACGAGATCGAAAGAGGGAGAAGAAATCCAGTGACCATAGATAAGACAATTGAGTCGGCTGCATAGCGCCTGATAAAGTGCCGAATGGAACAAGGCCGTTAATAAGACCTGCACGAATAATGCTAAGTAGAACCTCGACGATTGAAGCCTGCATAAGTAACTCGTGGAGCTTTGCTGCAAATTGCAATTCAGTTGAGTAATCGTTCTGTTCATTGACCCAATAATTCGTCCATTGGAATACCAGCAGTAGGATGGCGCCAGAAAGAGGAACAACGTGCAGTAACGCATGCACTGCGGCGACTGCCCTGTTGTAGTGAATGGCTACTTTGCGACGTTCGGTATTCCGGTTCCAACGAGAGCCCATACATCGAGAGAACGTCGAGGAAGCGGATTGAAACCGAAACTGTCGCATGAGATGGCGACGCTTTACCTGCGATGGGGCGGAGTTGTCTTCCAATTCGACTACATTCGCATTGTGACTGTTATCGCCAGAGGTGTCATCGCGCGAATCGACACTTGCATAGCCGCTTTTCAGTAAGCCCGTTGTATGGCTGGAGCTTCAGTATGAGCAACCTAGATCTAGATTCTGACCTGGGCGAGACGCACCTCATTTCTGCCAGTTCCTGTCCGGAGACAGCTTCGCTTCTCATCCTGCACGCCAAGCCCGCATAACCCACAGTGGACGCGTCGTGGAGTATGCTGCTCGTTCAATACTCAGATAGTAAACCTATAACGATCGCAAAGACTTATTCAGGGTGCAAAAGACTGTATTGGAGATGTGTATGAAAGCCACCGTGGTGGAAGGAAGCAAGGTGAAGGCTGCCCAGGTGAGATCCGTTCGCTGAGCCCGACTGCCTTGAAGCTTGGCTGTGGTAAGGCCCACCATAGGATTTCGCGAATCTGACATGTCTGTGCGTGGGTAACATCACCCAAGCGCTGCTGCGGACCAGCATCTAATTAATCTGATTGAGAATGGCATTCAGACTTTCAGATAGAAGTTGATGAATAAGAAGGGGAGCGGGAAGAGTAGTGCAGTCCACGGGTCTATTCGGGAACTACCCGGGTATATGTGATACTCATCACCCGAGCAATTGGGGCAGTGTCCGCGGCTTAGCATTGTTTCGGTCGCGTTATACATCTGTTAGCATTAAGATGACCGTCTATCGCCAGAGAGATGCCGAAATCAGAGATAAGGTTGCCGATGTAGAGATACGTCGGCTTCGAAGCTTGCCGAGATCCCTTCGGAAAGGTTCCGCTGCTGGCATTCAGGAGCCCCGCCTTTCGTGTTGCTGTATAAGATTAGTGAACCTCTGTATCCTCGTGCCCACTTATCTGATGGCTGCAGTCATTTCGTTGCTAATACCATAGTGATATGTACGGTCCTTTGTGTTTCTGCAATAAATACCTTCTTTGAAATATAACGTGATCAGATACCCGTGGACCCTTCACTTTCCTACGCTCAACACACTATCCACGTCATGTCACATCAACCATCATCCACTGTTCGCGTTGCTGTCACTCAATTCGAGCCAGCATGGCTTGACTTGCCAAAGGCTGTCGAGAAGACCTGCCGTTTGATCCGCGAGGCAGCAGAGAACGGCGCAAAGCTTGTGTCGTTCCCCGAATGTTGGATTCCAGGCTACCCTGCCTGGATATGGTACGTTCGCGAATACAGTTGTCCTTCGTCGATTTCCAAGGTATGCTGATATGCAATGCTAGGTCAAGGCCCATAGACTTCGAGCTCTCGACAGCTTATATGAAGAACTCTCTGCATGTAGACTCAAATGAGATGCGTCGCATCTGCCAGAGTGCTGCAGATCACCACATCGCCGTTGTGCTTGGGTTCAGCGAGAACTTCAAAGGCTCGCTATACATCTCACAAGCTATCATCAATGCCGAGGGCAGTATTGAAGTCCTGCGTCGGAAGCTGAAAGCGACGCACATGGAGAGGACGATATTTGGAGATGCATCGGGCTCTGCTCTCCAAAACGTCGTGGAGTTGGCGGATGTTGGACGCGTTGGTACCCTGGCTTGCTGGGAGCATACGCAACCACTACTCAAATACCACACTTACCATCAGAGAGAAACCATACATGTTGCTGCGTGGCCGCCGCTGTACGATCACGATGGCGGTCCAGGCTTGTACTCCATGAGCAAAGAAGGTGCGATTCCACGTTGTATACGAGTAGAGTAACCCTTAGCTAATGTAGTTGGTAAACAGGTTGTCGCAGCCTCTCTCAAGTTTATGCCATGGAGTCGCAATCCTTTGTTCTACATACTACAGCGGTAATGAGTGAAGCAGGTATCGCTACACTGCGGACAGCCTCTGGCGTCACCATGAATACCCCTGGTGGAGGTAGCTCAGCTATCTTTGGCCCGGATGGGCGCCTGGTGGCTGAAGGTCCTCCAGAGACAGAAGAAGGGTTCGTTTACGCAGAACTGCAGCTGGATGATATCTTGAAGGCAAAAGGTTTTTTGGACGTTTGTGGCCATTATAGCCGACCTGATCTACTGTGGCTCGGTGTCGATAAGAAAGAGAAGACACATGTCGCTTTAGACAACTAAGCGGACATACGGAGCGAAGGCGAACACTCAGCTTGCGATAATTACTACGCCAAAGCTCCTATACTACGCACTGAATAGGACATTTTGCGGCTGAATCCAGGCCTAAATCATTTGCGAGGGGCTGATGTGGCTGACCTCCGCAGACGCTCACTGGTCACAAATAAGAGCTCGCTTCCGGAGCTGAAAACCAATGTTGACCGGACATGGGCAAAGCAGGAGACAGCCTCATAGGCACATCTCAGGCTGAAGTAATAAAACTACCAAGCGCCTTTGCCTCACTGAGAGCTGCGAACAAGCCTTTCCAACATTCTGACCTCAGTCCTCGCTCCTTTTTTGTTGCGTCTCTCGGATCAACAGGACACTCGCGGTCAACCTTTGGGTCTGATAGGGTCAGCATCATAAAAGCCTCCCCCAAGACTCAGTCGCTGCTCCGCGCGTGTGAACATGTGAAGTTGTGGAGCGGAGTTTTGCAGTGCTCTGGTAGCGTTTTACTCGTTCGATTGGGAGCGGATGATTATAGATAAATACAAAAGCTACGAGGTAGCGATAACAGACGATAGGCCTCCGCCGAGAATAGTGTTCAGATAGCCTTGTAAGGCAGATAAATTGCGGACGTTGATCTCGTAGGTAGGCGAGGAGCTGGCAAGGCTGGGGGTGGGGTGCGCTGTTACGAGCGAAATGGCCCTGATATCTCATGGTACCCACGTGCTGTCGTTCTTTCGTGGAGATGACGCATGATGAAGAGCAGCTTGGCGTATGCTTGCGTCCACTTCATTGACTCTTATCGCCCCCTCTTTCTGCGTCCCGTAAATAGAGACTTGAACCATTTCTTCACCTCTTCCTTTCCGTGGTTTGGATGCGGTCGCTGAGTATCTCGTCCTCCTGGATGATCATAGAACTCGACTTCGGGCCCAAACCCATCCAAATCTTCGGGATCTTGTAGATCAACTACGATTTGATCTGCCGGCTGTGCCATCACATAGTCGGATGAAAGAAGCTATGGGCACGTCGGCTGAAAGCTTGCGAAAAAGAAGGAAGAAGTTGAGTGTATGTTAGATGGTGCTTTCGAAATGGTGTCCAGCCAGCAAGTCAGTTATAGAGGGTTCGATTCACTGCGTGATCGATAGGGATGAAAGAGAGACGAATGTACCTTAAGGGAAATTAAATTGTACCTAGATGCTCGCGAAGACGAACATTCAGCTTACAAGGTTCGCGATAACCCCCGCGCCACCAATATCTCCTCGCACGCAACTGTAAGCTGTCGTGCAACCAATTGTGCACCTGAACTGTCTCATGCAAGGTGATGTGGTTGGCTTTCTCGACGCTAATTGGGTGTCTCAATTTACGTGGCTTCCGGAGCTGAAAATCAACATTGACCGGTGTGGTTAAGACAGAAGAGAACCCCGCAGACGTCTTCCAGGCTACAGGAACAAGGCTATCAAGCACCTGCAAGTCATGTAAGTACGCTGACGGCCATCACGAACACTTTTTGTTTGGGACATTTGTCGTTGCCTCACGCCCGTGTCTCCACTCGAGGATGGAATCCCGCCTTGAGTCTACGTCTAAACCAAAGCCGGTCTATCGTAGGGGAAGCTCATTGGTTACCGATGACCAAGCTATGTCTACTATACAGCCTGACATTATGTTACCCCCGTTGGGAACACAAATCGCGCAGGATGATATTGAACAACAAGCAGCTGTCGGACGGATATCGTTACCTTCTTCACATGATAGCTTCACCGACGACCGGAACAAATCCAGACACTTGAACGAGGATCCACATTACATTGCTGATTATCTGGCACACAACACTAGCAAAGCTGCTGCAGTGTTTCGAAGATACGACAAGCTTGCTATGTATAGGCTCCTTTTACTGAGCAGAGAATTGGACAGTTTGGAGAAGAAACACAATGCGTTCGTGAACAGCGGCGACCCAGAGGATGCGGAAAACCTAAAAGCCAAAGGCTTCGACAATAAGGTCGGCCTCGTTCTGAAGGAATACTGTATGAAGTTATGCGCCATCTGTATGACTGAGCGAAGCTGCTAACACGTGTTCCAGATGATCTTTTGCAAGCTTACAGCAGAGTCCTACATCTGGACCCACCCGCGGAAAGAACAGTTAAAGCAATCGATCGATTTGTTGCCACCCCAGATTACCACGGATGGAGATCTTGGTGGGGATACAGGCTGAAGTATCGATTAGCAGGAAGATCTGACGAAGAGATGGCATTACCCGATCTCGTCAGTCTGTACACTCCCGTGGAGAATGACTTGATTTCCCGAGGCGTCGATAAATTCCTGTATGGCTTCTTCCTGGTATGTTCTGAGTTATCGTTTGTGGAATCGCCCTACGTTCTTCGTTTTCCCCACAGCAGTCTAACTCTTGTAGACCCCCAGATCATACAACATGGCATGGTTCAGAGACGGGCTGAGAGACGGGTTCAGAAACCGCTACAACAACACCCACGGCCCAAAGTACGTGAACGAACAAAAAATGCAAAGATTCGTCACTTTCGTAGGCACGATAATCTCAATCGGATTCCTGGTATCCGCGATGTGGGTTCTGTGGCGACTGGAAAAGCACATGATCGCCAAATTGGCGACAGTCACCGGGTTTGTCGTGGCATTTGCTGGGTGGTTGGGATTCTTGACCACGGCTCAAAGGAAGGACGTCATAGCAGCTACCGCGGCATATGCAGCTGTACTGGTTGTGTTTATCAGTCAGTAGAGCTGAGTGACGGACCAGTAACAAGGGACAGATCAGAAAAGAGTATGCCATGTTTGTTGTCTTCTTCTCGCATGATCTCGTTCGTTTTTCTATTGGGTATCAGTAACCGAATACAAGCTTGGAAGACTGTTCGTCTGAATGTACGTAGACTCGATGAAGATACCATCCATTCATCGCCCGTCCCCCTCAACCCTAACATTCGAGAACGCAACCGCCGGTCCCTCGCCAGCAAGTTTCTCCGCCATACTAACAATAACCTCGTCCGACCAACGAAACGCATCAACCTGGTGGTAATCCAGAAGAGAGTTCAATCTCCTTACTATCCACGCCTGGACTTCCGGTGTGCAGAACTCGTATGCCACGACGAAGCTCAAGCCAGTGTGAAACGCGCCGATCGGTCTGCTAGCCCACGCGTCCTCCCATGTTTTACAGATTTCGACGGCGGCGCAACGGCATTCGGATTGAAGTTGATAGCGCGCTTGGTGGAATGGCGGGAGGAGTCGCATTAGGACTTTGTTCGTTAAGATGATGACGGACCAGAAGCAATTGTAGGCGGTCATGTCGCGCCAGTTGTTGAAGTGGTAGGTCGTTTGTATGGGACTGCTCTTTTCTCTTGCTGGCGTTTCGGAGACGGCGATGCCGTTTGTGAGTTTCGTGTTCATATGCTCGCCTAGACTGCGGAGTGCATCTTTGAGTTCATATACCTTGTGCAGAAGTGCTGTCCGTATAGATTCGTACTGAGACGTGTATTGGTTTGCGCTGATTGGATATGATGTTTTGACCGGCCGTATGTCTTCTAGAAAGTCGATATCGTCGAAAGAGTCGGTGGAGAAGTCGAGTGATGGAGGCGTATCGATCAACGGTTTATACAGTTCGCCGTTGGAGCTGAACTCAAAGCTCGTAGTGTGGGGCGGTTGCAGGACGCAAGTTTCGTCCAACTCTTTCAGTGTATTGAAGATACCAGGCAACTCGGCCATGTATTGCATCAAGTCAGTATTGAGGCAGTCGTCGAAACTGAGACCGGTCTTGTCGAAAGCGATATCTCGCCATTCAGGCGATGCGAGAAAACATGGCTTTCGTTCGTATATGCACGTAATGATCTATCGATACATTAGTCTTGAAATGGTTTTCTCGTGTATGCCTGAGTCAATAGACCCGATCACATCGTCGTGAGTGTGATCGACTTACAATCCCGCCTCTATTGAAGCGCAGCATCTCTTTCGTAAAACTGTCCGTGTACCTAGAAGGCCCTTGTAATTCCATTAATCGTCCGGCGCCGCCCACGTGCGTCAAGTATCGGTTGCCTGTTCTTGGACCTGCGAAAGCCTGGGCATGTAAGTACGGGTCCAAGCTCAACCAGGCAAGACTTACTTCTACGAGACCAAGAAGTATTGATGCGCAGAGAGTATTGGGCGACATGCCCAATTGCTGGCTTTCGAGGCATCCCTGGAGCGTTTTGATAGCTCGGATATAAAGCTCTGGCGAAACGATCTCGTCTGCAGTCTTCTTGTATACCAGCGAGGTATGGACATTCACCAGTACTGTCACTGCCGCATCAAGGGCAGCATTGTGTCCGATCCTAGCTGGTACTTCTTGGATAAACCGACCAAACACCGACATGCGGTGCCCGGTACTGCCTGTTGTGGTAGCTGCGATCAAGGAGCGTGCGAGTTGTTGATGCTGTGATGGCGACGGTTGTCGAAGAAAGGGCGATTTAGGTGGAGATAAGCTGATTGAACTTGATCGTGGAGACCGCTTCCGCGGTGTTGAACTCTTGTTCGATATCCTGAATTTGTGGGTGACGGACCCATTGTCGGCAAACTTCTCATTCAATTGCGTTAATTGCCTGTCCGGATCTGTGACCAAATCAGTATCGTAGTCGTGTGCACTGAATACCAACCTACCTGGTGATGCAGTTTCTTCGACGGACGAGTGTGTGGCGCCTCCACTCAGCCTATGCCCGAGATCTCTGAACGTGTGTCGTGCGGGGGCTCCTGGACATTGCTTTCCATTCTTCTGGCAATTCAAACATGTCGGCCAACTTTCGTCTTGATCGTCACTAGTCAGAATGGTTGAGTCGGGGCGTTCTGGTGGAGCTAGCCTTACCGCACTCTGTCCTTAGTCAGGCGTTATCCGCAAGGAAGAGGGCCACAGACGACTTACTAATCTTCCTCTTGCGGCAGATGAGGCACCCAGTGCTTTTCGGAACACCAACCATACTTCCACAATAATGCACCTTCCAAGGATGAACAACAAGCGAAATGAATGACGCAAAGATGAGACGTGAAAAACAGCAGGATTTTGAGAAGCTTGAGCTGAGACTTTTGCTGTCAACTCACGTCGGTGGCCATATGGTTGCCGAACGATGCTGTGTATGATGTATGCAAACTGCCTGCCTCCGTTAGGCGTCTCGGGGGAGTTCCATACCGTGGCTGCAGGCGAGGCTTAGGTCCACAGGGGTTATTGTTCGGCACCCTGATCTGGCGGTGGACTGATGGCTGAAGAAGACGCTCGTCACCCCACGTGTTCGCGACATGGAACCTGATCAGGCTAGATGGGATGGAAGGTGGAGATGATTGGTCAGACTTTATATGAATTCGGGACGCGCCGCAGACAGTTGTATTGTGAGTCTGCTCTGAGTGGTCTCAATTGTGCCCGCCGAGTGTGTTACACATGTCGTCAGACCGCGTATGCGTCGTGTGTAGAGTAGGACGGAAAGGCAGACTGGACTGCAAGAGCGATGGGGAATGCCAAGCCCCTAGAACCGAAACAGACCCCTCCCACGCCAGAAGCCTCGAACACTCGAAGAAGCGTCAATGTTTCTCATATCTGGCCAGTGAACTGAGACTGTGGCTTTCGGTATGCTTACCGTTCCTACTTCATGTTACTTCACTACATGCAGTGTGTACTGCAAGTGATGCTGGTGTGGCTGCTTCACCGTCCATCCAAGCATCCTTTCTTTCATCAGTGTGCAGTAGTAGCATCTCGACGACATAGGGCAGTCGTTCGGAGACTGTTCGAATTAGTGAATGTTTCACCGGAGGTAGCCCTCTAAGCGATTACTACTCAACCATCCACGCGTCTTGCCTTAACTTAAACGATGTGAAGCCTTACTCCCATACACTGACCACAACCCCACAATTTCCCGAGACCCCTCCGAACAAATCGAAATCCCCAATCCCTACAAACCTCGGGCGCAGGCACGCTTGGCCATCTCTCTTACCTTATCAGTCATCGACCTCACTAGCCATACGAAACGCCAGCAAAGTAAGCTCTAGTATCCACTGCGCCCTACGCGACAAATCGGCACACATAAACTCTCGGCACCCGCCCTCGGCATCTCGGTGACCCAACTAGGTAGTCAGACCTCAGGGTACACCGTAACCGTCAAAGTAAGGTGTGCCGATGCGCATCTACGGAGCCAAGTGATGCCTCAGCAGCTTGCAGTGCAGTTACGTACGTCTTGTCAGAACTATTGACCGTTCATGATATGTGTCTTGTGATTCCGTGTGGTATATACCCAGCATGCCCCCTGATGAAAATGCCTTCCATGCAATGGAATGGGGTATCGCATAGGAGATAAAAAGGCCGAAGCCAAAATCCAGTCAAATCAACGCATTTCCAGCCCACTTTTCTCCCGCTCTCATCAACGCGTACCCATCTTCCATCTTCCTCCAGACGATCAAAGGGATAACACCTGAGCCGGAACAGTTACCCCGGGGGTAAAACAGTTCATGCACCACCCATCCCTTCTGATGGCACTAATCGACGTACTCAAGTGGTTGTATCTCATCCCTCCATGTCCTCCTCGTCCTCATCCTCACTCTCTAGCTTCTTCTTGGTAGCGCGCTTCTTCTTAGGCTTCGCGTCCTTGATGGCCTTGCGCTGAACTTGATCGCCGACGCGTTCGCGTTCAGCGGTGCCTTCGGCTAGAAGCTTTGCTTCCAACTGCTTGAACTCATCAGAGGTGTTGTCCATGCCGACCAGGCTCTCGAGCAACTTGATCTCGCGCGCCCAGATACCCTTGTCTTCGACCTTCTTGCCGTTGGCGTCAACGCTGTCGACGGGGGTCTCGAGAACCATGGGGAGACCGTGGAAGCGCTCGTCGTTCATGAGGTTGTGGAAGGCTTGGAGGCCGAGGTATCCGGTACCGATGCGGGCGTGGAGGTCGCGGAAGCTGGATAGAGGGGCTTTGCTGTCGTTGACGTGGAAGGCTTTGAGGTATTCTAGGCCAATCTCCTGGTCAAACTTGTCCATGGTTGTGGCGTAGGCTTCAGGGGAACGGAGATCGTAGCCGGCAGCGAAGACGTGGCAGGTGTCTAGGCAAACACCGACACGGCTCTTGTCCTTGATGAGGTTGATGATGGCGGCAATGTCAGCGAATGTTCCTCCGATGGTGTTGCCGAGAGTTGCCATTGTCTCAAGTACAGTGACAACGCTACCAGTCGCCGGATCTGCATGTG